CCAGGAGTGGTGGTTCAAACGTTTAATCCTAGTACTCTGGGAAGCCAAGGCAGGAGGATCACTCCAGGTCAGGAGTTCAAGACCAGCCTGAACAAGAGCAAGACCCTGTTGCTACTAAAAATAGAAAAAAATTAGCTGGTTAGCTGGACAACTAAAAATATATATAGAAAAACTTAGGTGAGCATGATGGCACATGCCTGTAGTCACAACTACTTGGAAGGCTGAGGCAGAAGGATCACTTGAGCCTAGGAGTTTGAGGTTGCTGTGAGCTAGGCTGATGCCACAGCACTCTAGCCTGGGCAACAACAGAGTGAGACTCTGTCTCAAAAAAACAAAAACAAAACAACAGGAAGAGTTGAGAGGTCTTTGGAGGTAATTGCTTTTCTTTCCCCATTCTTCTGACCCCTTTGCAAGGATTCCCCTATCAAGACAGGGAGGGAGGAGAGGAGAGCGGAGGGAGAAGGCTTCTCCTCTCCATTCCCAGCATATCTTCCCTCCCACATGGGTAGGGCGAGAGGCTAAGAAACTGTAGCTCACTTTATTCCTAGTTATGAAACCAAATCAGCTAACTCAGTTGACTCATGCAAGTGGAAAGAGACAAGAATGGGAATACGGACTCTGAACCAGAATCCCTGTCTGCTGCTGGCAGCTGGCCACTCAGGGGAGACAGAGTGGTTTTCCTGCCTCTACGGGCAGTAGGGTCCCAGGCTAGAAAGCCTCTCTTCCTGGCCCCCTCACTCTGCACCCTGCAGGCTGGGGCTCTGCCTGCCCAGTGCCCTTATAGAACCAGCTATGTGGAGCCCACAGGTGGGGAATCCAGACCAATTAGGGATGCTTAGCCTGTGGCTCAGTCTCCCCTTTCGCTCCTTCTCTGGGGTGGGTTGGCTGGGGCAAGGGAGGCCCAGAGTTGAGAGTGTAGAACCCACCAGGGACAAGAGTGGGTTCTAGATCAGAGCTCACAAACTATGATTGTCCTGGTTGCATCCCTGCAGCAGGCAGAATGCTGCTGCCTCCTCCCCCTCAAAGATTTCCACATCCTCACCTGTGAATATGTTATCTTATATGGCAAAAGGGACTTTGCAGATGTGATTAAGTGAAGGAGCTCGAGATTGGGAGATTATCCTGGATTACCCAGGTGTGCCTGATACAATCATAGGATATTTTAAAAAGGGAGGTAGGAAGGGCAGAGTCAGAGAGGGAGATGTGACTGTGGCATGTCACTTTAAAAATCACAAGATCTATAAATTGGAAGTAGATTTTATTTCTTATAAAGGGTTATAGCCTGCGAGGTGGCGGTTCTGACAGGCTGAGAAGCAGAGCCTCCAGCCAAAGACCAGAGACAGGCACTTCAAAGGAGGAGCAGGAGGAGGGGATGGGGCAGGGATTTAAACTGGACAGGTTGGCCGAGTATACATATTCATGAAGGGAGTCCTAATGCATGCAAAGTAAACAAACATGCATGTAACATATGACCAATGTTCAATTTGGGGTGGAGACTTAATATTAAATGTATTACAAGTAGGCCCTGTAAGTGAAAAGTTGTTTTCAGGACACAAAGGCACTCAAGTATGCAACTTCTGTAAAACTGTCAGTGGTCTAATTAGGAGTAAGTTACTGAAATCAGCCTCTTGTCCAATCAAAGCTGTAGTTATGGTTTGTGGAACAGGAGGGTTTAGGGTCAGTGTCTGGGGGTGAAGTTGCCAATTGTTTTAATATTGTTTTTCTCAAGGCCAGTGCTTGTTTAGCTATTAGAGGGGGGGAAAAACCTCATGACAGTTAGAACATAGTTTATTCTTTAAATGTAGGGGCGCGTGACTTAACTCTTATCTGGCATGGCCTCAGGTCCTGTTATAACTTGGCATCTTATTGTCACAAAGAGTTGGTTCTGTCCGTCTCATAATCCTTATTTTAACATTAATAGTGGTGAGTTGTTCTGTTTAAGCCACAAAAAGGAGAGGGTATAAAGAGGTGTGTCTGACCTCCCATCCCAGCTGGGAACTCAGTTTTTCAGGTTCCTCTGGGGGCTTTACCAGGAGGGGGTCCATTCAGTTGGTTGGGGGCTTAGCATTTTTAGTTTACAGGTAGAAGAGTTGGGACAAAGAGCCAAAAAAGGATGGAGGAAGGTACTGATTTGAAGATGCTAAATCTGCTGGCTTTGGGATAGAGGGAGGGGCCACAGCCAGGTACTGCAGGTGGCCTGTTGAAGCTAGAAAGGCAAAACAGCAGATTCTCCCCAGAGTCTCCCCAAGGAGAATGGCCCTATTGACACCCTGATTTTACAACTTGGGGCCTCCAGAACTGTAAGGTAATACATTTGTGTTGTTTTAAGCCACTAAACTTGTGATAACTTACTACAGCAGCAGCAGGAAACTGATGAAACCCCCATGCTATGGCTGACTAAGAGTCCCCATCCACATCTGATTGAAGGTTAGGTGGATCAGCACATTGACTAAGAAGCTCTATGGCAGAGGTCCCCAGCCTTTTTGGTACCAGGAACTGTTTCCATGGAAGACAATTTTTCCATGGACTGGGGAGGGGTGGGAGAAGATGGTTTGGGGATGCTTCAAGTGCTTTACATTTATTGTGCACTTTATTTCTTTTGCTATTACATTCTAATATATAATGAACTCATTATATGATGAACTCATTATAAACTCATTATATGATGAACTCATTATATGAACTCAACCTATGATGATAATAACTCATCATAGGTTGGGGACTTCTGCTCTATGTCACTGCAAGACCCTCTCACTCACAATAATCATAAAGGCTTCTGGTAAAATAAAATAGCCACTGCAGTCACCCCAGATTCTCAAACGGCCAATTGTAGGTCTGGAACCCCTTGATATCTCCCTGGCTCAACCTCCATTTGACCTTCTAGGGCCTGTCAAAGAGGATCTTTAATTTAAATAAAAAATAACTGTATTTTTTTTCTCATTACCAAAATAATACAAGCAAAGACATCAGAAAATGTAGAAGAGCAAAAAGAAACATCATTAACAATAAACCACACTCTAGCTCACTAAGACAACAACTGCTAACATCATGCTTATCTTTCTAGACCTTTTAAAATAACTGTATACACAATTTTAAAAGTTAACCTTTCTAAAAATATATACTTTAAAATTTTTACATACCATGAATATTTTCCATGTCAACAATCTTCATTTGCAACACTAGTTCTCAAAGTCTGATCTGGAGACCCTGGGGAATGGGGTCGGTCTCAATATATTTATAGGGGATTCAAAATTATTTTTATTTTAATTCTAAGACATTATTTGCCCTTTTCACTCTCATTCTCTCATACATATACAGTAAAATTTCCTAGAGGCTAGATACTATATGATATTGCAATAGTTTAAATATAGAAGCAGAAATAAAAATTGAGTTTTTACTAAGTTTGACATTAAATAAATAGTAAAAGTCTAAAATAATTCCACTCTTCTGGTTTGAAATATATACTTATTTTTCATAAAATGTTATTTATGTTACCATATGATGGGTTTCTTGCTATTTTTAATGAAATAATGAATATTTTTAAAGTTTCTCAGTTTTAATTTCAAAAGTATTAGTAGATGTATAATAGCACACCTAAACAAAACTTTGGAGCCCTCCATAATTTTTTAGAGTGTAAAGGGATCCCGAGACCAAAAAGTTTCAGAACCTCTAATCTATGATATCATTTTCTAATGGCTGAATCAGTCGATTGATACAGAGTTTTCTAATTCCTTTAACCAGTAAGTAACATGCAGAATAAGATCCTTAAAGTTAAATTTGCGTACATCCTTAATTATTTCTTTAGGATAATTTCCAAGGATGATTTTTAAAGCCTATACTTATTACTCATTGTACAAAAATGGACTAACATCAATAATGTGACCCACCCCTCGGCCAATCAGCTATTCCATTCTTTGTTTCCTTCCAATCAACAAATGGCACTGGAAGGCATTTAGGTCTTTAGGCATTTAGTGTCAGACCTAGGTCTGACACTAGGTCGTCATGTCCAAAGGTAAAGCGCCCTGTGGACCATCCTCCAGTGGGCTCCACCTTAATTACCCTGGAATCTTGTTTCAAAAGCAAATAACCGCGAACAGTTAGCATGTAGGTAAAGAAAACTGAGTATTGCGCTCGGTTCTTTCTTTACCTACACGCTAACTAATGGCAGGATGAACCCCATTTTTCCAAAATATGGACTAAAATGAATGCCGGGGCGGGGCATGCTACCACAGGCTACAGGCCTCGCCCATAGCCACTGATCCCACCGTCCATCTCCCCAGGCCACGACGCTCCCAGGCTCCACGCGCCCTCCTCCCCTTTCCAGCACTAAGCACCGGGCCAGGCACTCACTCAGGGCGCAGCACATTCTAAGGGCCCGCTCAACAAGTGTGGAAGGCTCTACCCTCGCAGATCCTCACTCAGCAGGTCTGGGGCTGATCCCAGACGCTGCATTTTTAATAAATCCTGCCTCTGAAGAGGGTCAAGGGCCAGCTCCCCTCGGTAACGGCTAGGCCGCCCGGCCGTCCTGCACGCCTCAGTCTTGCATCCCTCGGACCGGCCAGTATCAGCTCCCGCACCGGGCAGGGCAGCTGCGAGCACCCGTGAGGCGACTTTACTACACCGCACGTCCTCGGCTCAGTGACGGGCACGGGGCCAGCCTCTGACCCTGCGTAACTGGTCTTAGCACTGCAACGGAGGGACCCAGAGCACGCTTCTGACCCAACAGTCCGCTGGAGCCTCAGGCCCGCTGCCCGCCGGGTCGCGGCTGCGGGAGCGGAAGAGCGCGCAAGCTCATCGCCCCGGGGAGCCCGAGCGGGCGGGCGCGTGCGCCTGCTACTGGCGCGGAGTTGCGCGTGGGCGTGGCCTGCGGGCGGGCACCGGGTCGTGGTGGGCGTGGCGGCGCGCGTGGGCGTGGCCTGCGGGCGTGGCCTAGCGGGGCGTGCGCGCTGACAGCAGCGCCGAAGAGTAGGAGACGCCTCCCCGCGGGAGCTGGCGGCGGCGGGGCCGGAGCGAGGGTGGAGGGAAGGGGGGGTACCCAGGAGCCGGGAGCTGGGAGCCAGGAGGGTGTCGGAGGGACCTGTCTCTTTAAGTTGCCGGAGGCTCGCTGGCACTGCGCGGAGGGAACGGCGGGAGGCGCGGCCTGGTCTGGCTCGCACAGCCGCCGCGCGCGCCCCGGGCTCGGCCGACCCGCCGGGGGACGAGGGCCAGCGGCCTGGCGGCACCGCGGCGCACGGTGAGCGGGAGCGGCCGGGGGAAGGGTGCAGCCTCCGTGGCCCGAGAGGGGCCGGGAGAAGCCTGGGTCGGGCTACGCGGGGGACAGAGCGGCGGTGCCGGGGGTCTGCCCCAGGCACGGGCGCGCAGGCCGGTCCCCGCGAGCCGGCAGCACGTCTGCGGCCCCCTGGTTCCGGACCGCCGCCGCTGCCGGCCCTCGGGCCAGCCTCACTCTCCGCGGCCCAGGCCCGCCGAGCGGGGTGATGGGTGCCCGGCCCCGCTCCGCTGCAGCTGTGCGGAGCCTGCCTTGCTGCTCCGCCCCGGGCGCTGTCAGTGCTGTCTGCCTGAGGGACCAGAGTCGCCAGTCTGGTCAGGATGTGTGAAAAGCAATTTTGATGCGTTATTGTGTCTAATTCCTTAGGGAAAAACAAGCAACCCTGATTTGCCCATGGCCTTAGTTACTCGAATACTTTTTCCAGTAAGATTTTAGGAGTAAGATGAATTTGTTAAACACTTCAGAAGACCATAAAAGACGAGGGAGGGCGGGGAATCCCAGTTTTGGTGGTTGTAGGATGAAAACTAGTTCACGAAAAATTAGTTTTCAAATGCCTTCTTTGGCCTCCACAAATACGCACTGATGGCTCCAGAAGTCATCCGTCTTGGTATGTGGTGTTAAATAAATTAGAAAACTGGGTTACTAACGGCCTTTAGGGAGTGCTTTGTGGGCCTCAGTAACCATGTCAGGGCTTTCTCTTTCAAAATTGAGTCACACTGGGTACAAAGCCCTTTATTCTTTTCACCTTCTCGTTGCTTTTCTTTTGTTGTATTTTGTAATACTTTGAATAAAAGTTTAGAGTGATCATAAAGGCCCCATAAACCCACTGTTTGTCCCACTTACATAATTAGTCATTTATTTTAATTGATTATATTTGGGCGGGGAGTGTTTTAACACCGTAAAATTGTTTCTTCTCTTTTTTAAAGCGTATGACCGTGTTGGCTGTTTATCCCGTCAGAGTTTGTGCTGGCTTTTGTTTGTCTTCTTGAACTGTAATAGCTTCATAATAACTTCGAAGAATATGTGTTACTAATATAATTAAAAGACTATATTCACATTTTAGTAGATTACCTAGAGTTTTTAATGCAATTAATAATTTACTGTCTCCTTTTTTATTTGCTCAATTATTTGAAGAGTGACTCTGTGGACTCTACTTTCTTTGAGCTGTTTTATTCTGGCTAAATTATAACTAGAACAATTTCCATTTAAAATTTTCTTTTGATTCTAAAAATTAAAATATTAAATATTTTAAAATTATAATATAATATTAACAGTTTTTATATGGGCTTAAAGTTGAATAATGGACCTAAAGCTAAAGTTGAATAGTAGCAGTACAGTATTGAAACTAATTATTTCCTTGATATACTGTCAGGTTTCTGAGAGTTTAGATCTATTCATTTTAACTTTCACAGTCATCGTTTCTGGGTAGTCTGAGAAATTTCAGTATTTAGGTCCTTGAAGACATTACTGGCTTCAGTACTAATGCTATAAAGACATTATTTTATAAAATTATTTTTTGAATGCTTAATCTTTCATTGATACTGATCTTTGAATGATTGCTCAAAAGTCTTTTGACACAAGTCTTGGGTTTTATTTTGTTTTTTGTTGTTGTATTTGTTGTTACACTTGCCTTTGAATTAAGGTTGTGTTTTCTTTTTGTTTAGCTTCCTGGCAGTTACTGATCATCTCTGAAGAAACATGAAGTCATACTATATTGTTATGGTTACGCTAGTCATCCTGATGTTCCTGACCTGGCTCCCTGTGTCGCTCAGCTGTAACAAAGCACTCTGTGCTAGTGATGTGAGCAAATGCCTCATTCAGGTAAGAGTAAGAGTACTTTTATTTATTATATTAAGATATAGAGCCCATACATAGTGTGTGTATATATATATATACACGCACACACAGAGATAGGGTGTGTATATGATACAGTGTAAGACCTGAGTATTAGGTCTGGACGTGAGGTATTGAATGGTGACACATGGGTCTGGATTTTTACCCTCACAGTTCTCTTGCATACAAGCAAGGTCAGATTCAAGTTCAATACCCAGTATAATATCCTGCTTTATAAACATACCATTACAAGGTGATGAGCCCTCTATTAAGATGAATTAAAGAGTCCCCTTATATAATCTACTTAACATAGCAAGATGCTCAAGGACTGTATTTAGAAAAAAAATTAGCTGATCAAATAATAGACAAATTGTACCCTAAGTGTAATGTATTAGTTACCTATTGCTGTGTAACAAATTACCCCAAAATGTAGTGACTTAATGCAATAGACATGTATTATCTTAGGCAATTTCTGAGGGTCTGGAATCTGGGAGCAGTTTAGCTGGGTGGTTCTGGCTCAGGGTGTCTCACAAGGTTACAGGCAGGTTGTTGGCTGGGATTAAAGAATCTGCTTCCAACATACTTGAAAATTATCTCTCTTCCAATCATCAAGGCAAGCCTCTTAATGCAGCTACCACTCTTATTTTTCTGAGGAGAAAAATGAAGTTAAGTAACTTGGCTAAATTTGTTTAGTTAGTAACTGATGGTGGAACTTGGTTTCTCTCTTCAAAGCCTGTGGCCTTTCCACTAAACATTCTGGATATTACTCTTTAAAAAGTTATGATGGTTACTGGTAAACTTCATGTCTTCCATAGCTCTTCTCTCTTTCCCCATCCTGTTAGACCCTCAGCAACCTTTTGCCTTTTGTGTGTCTGTCTTTATTAGTAGTTATTGGCTGTGGGCTAAGAAGTTAGCATTCTGTGTAAAGTATGAGTCAGCTAACTCAACTGTAACCCTCATTGAGAGCACTTGTGTATATGTACTAGAGTGATAATTATTTTTATAGATGAGAGGCATTTTGTGCTTATTTCTGACATTTTGGTTTTCATTGATAGGTGAAATTCTAGTTGCCCCCATTTCATACTCTGATAACCCTTACTTTGCCTTTCAAACAAAAACATTTAACTAGAGAAATTTGTTAGTTGTTGTTTTGGGCTCAAGCAATCTTACTGCCTCAGCCTCCCGAGTAGCTGGGACTACAGGGGTGTGCCACTGTGCCCGGCTAATTTTTTCTATTTTTAGTTTTTTGGCTAATTTCTTTCTATTTATACTAGAGACAGGGTCTCGCTCTTGATCAGGCTGTGTTAGTTGTTGTTTTAAAACTTTTTTTGCTGTGGACATTTTTAAGTATAACTAGAGGAGAGTATAATGAACTACCCATTACCAGTTATAGCAGTCACTGGCTACCCAGTTTTATCTGTATTTTCCTACACCATCACCACAGCTTGGTTTTAATTTCAAGCAAATCCCCGATACTATTTTATCTATAATTCTGGTATGTATCTCTAAAATATAAGAGCTCTTTAAAACACTGCTATTAGACCAGTATCACGGTTTTAAAAATTAACAGTAATTCTTTAACCATCTAATTTATAGATGGAAATTTTATTTATTTATTTTAAAAATTTTTTTACTTTATTTATTTATTTTTTTGAGACAGAGTCTCACTCTGTTGCACAGGCTAGAGTGCTGTGGTGTCAGCCTAGCTCACAGCAACCTCAATCTCCTGGGCTCAAGGGATCCTCCTGCCTCAGCTTGTGGAATAGCTGGGACTACAGGCGTGTGCCACCATGCCCGGCTGATTTTTTCTATTTTCAGTAGAGATGGGAACTCTCTCTTGCTCAGGCTGGTCTCGAACTCCTGACCTCAAGCAATCCTCCCACCTTAGTCTCCCAGAGTGCTAGGAATACAGGCGTGAGCCACTGCACCAGGCCCACATGGAAATTTTGATATGGCATGTCTGCTTAGGCTTAGGCTGTCTGGAAATTTTATCATCTACACATGAAGTGCAGCTTCGTGCTGTGGTCAGATGGAGAATCTATGCTACCTCCTAGGTTGTTTCAGTGTAGCTTCATTTTTTTTTTTTTGAGACAGAGTCTCACTTTGTTGCCCAGGCTAGAGTGAGTGCCGTGGCATCAGCCTAGCTCACAGCAACCTCAAACTCCTGGGCTCAAGCAATCCTACTGCCTCAGCCTCCCGAGTAGCTGGGACTACAGGCATGTGCCACCATGCCCAGCTAATTTTTTACATATATAAATCAGTTGGCCAATTAATTTCTTTCTATTTTATAGTAGAGACGGGGTCTTGCTCAGGCTGGTTTTGAACTCCTGACCTTGAGCAATCCGCCCGCCTCAGCCTCCCAGAGAGCTAGGATTACAGGCGTGAGCCACCGCGCCTGGCGATTATTAAAAATAAAGTCTCATAACATTTGCTATATTCGTGTTTAGGTGGAAATTCTTTTAAATACCAAAATACTATTACTTTCATTAGTCTAAATTATTAAAAATTTTACTTTATTTAAAGTACCTTGCTTTGTAAGGAGGTATTTAAAAGAGAAAGCAGCCTTTAATTAATATTGCTAAACACTCCCACAGGGTTTTTTTGTGTTTGACTTTCTAATTTAAAAAATTTTAAGACTTACAAACTACTTCAAAAGCGAAGAGTACTGTGTTTAGCGTAAAAACTGGAAAAGCAAATGGAGCTTCACCTAACTAGGACGGCGGTTCTAGTAAATGAAAAGGCTAGGACTTGTATTTTTGGTCACTAATTCACAGGAGCTGACATTCTGAGATTCCTGTTGTTCCTTCAGAGCCAGGAAACATTAAACTTTTTTCTGGAATAGTAGATACAGCTCTTCTGGTGCATAGTGGCAGAATACTTTGGGTTAAAAATACTGAGAGTTCAAATATTGAGGATTTTCTTGTTGATTTGTTCACGAACACTTATTTGACATTGAAGTGAAATGTGATTAGTTCTCCCATTTACCTGGTTTTGTAGACTCCAGAGCTCTAGCAGGTTACTTCACATTCTGAGCTTTGGCTTCTGTGTATGCCTCTTAATTATGGCTGTAACAAACCACCTCAAAAATCAGTGGTTGAAAACAACCTTTATTTTGTTCATGAATTTGAATTCTGAGCAGGGCTCAGTGGAATAGCTCATCTCTGTTTCACAAGGCATTAACAGGGGCAGCTAGAAGGCTGAGGACTGGAATTACTGAAACAGCCCTACAGATAGAACCTTCTGTGATAATGGAAAAAATCTCCATGTGCCCTGTCCAATACAGTATTAATAGAAACCAAACATGGCTATTGAGCACTTGAAGTGTGACTAGTGTGATTGAAAATATGATTTTAAAATTTTATTGAATTTTAAGTTTACATATCTACATATGACTAGTGGCTACTGTATTGGCCACTAATACAGTAATATAACATCAAAATACAACATCAAAAATCTGAAGGCTCCCTGATAAGGCTAACACCTGGGCTAGGAATATTCTTTGGATATACCTCACCTGCACTTCTCTTCCCCTTCCCGCCACTCTGTCCCTGTCTCCTGCCTCTCTTTCACTGTGTGTCTGTCTGTATCTGTCTGTCTTTCTTTCTCTGTAATCTCTTTATATGATCTCTCCAGTAGGACCACCTGGATTTAAGTGGTGGGAACATAGGCCCCACCTCTACACGGAGGAATGACAATGTCATGTTGTAAGGAGAGCATGTGGATGGGGGATAGTGGTGCAGCCATCTATGGAAAACACAGTCTCTCACATCTTAACTGTGAAATGAATTGGCTGGCCAGGTGAACTCAAAGTTTCCTTGTAGTTACATGTAGTTTTTTGTTTTTTGTTTTCATAGAGATGAAATCTTGCTGTTGTCCAGTGTTAAATTCCTGGCCTTAAGTGATCCTCCCGCCTCAGCCTCCCAAAGTGCTATGATTATAGGTGTGAGCCACCAAGACTGCCTGTTATATGTAGTTTTAAAGAAAGAAGCTAACTATTATATGTCAGATATTCTATTTTTTTTTTGAGATATTCTATTTTTAATCAGAGTACTAAATTGTTAAATTCTTAGAAGGACACATAGTGAAAAAATAAATCCCTTGACTTAATTCTCCCTATTCCTCTTTCTGTTACCCTGGGAGAACCACTTTTAATCCATTAACTACTTCTATTTTTACTTCTATTAGTAATTTTAGCCACGTGACTAATAATATGCTTATACTACTGTTTCTTGATTAATCAAGTTTTGAGATTATATATCTGAAATTGCCTTTCTGCTCTAATAGATATAATAGCTCACTCACCATCCTTTCCTCCCCCACCCCTGCCCTGCCACAGTTGTATTACTATTGGTTATCTCTTCAATTTCTTCAATATATTTAAGTTTTTCTGTTCCATGCTATTAATTAGAGACCCTATCTATCCCTTGATTCCTGCTGTAAAAGGAGAATATTAATAGCCCCACTCCTTCCTTTTTAAATTTTATTTATTTTCTTTTTTTAGGAACAAGACAAAGTGTAATTAAGTTCGAAGAAGAACAGTACATTTCTTTAGGGAACCTAAAAAAGGGAGGGTTTATTGGGATTCTAAACAGCCTTGGAAGATCATGTGAATCCACCATTGATTGCCAGGCCACACTTAATAGAAAGGAAAGAAATCAGTTTTCCTTGCTTTTGTGAATACTGCCCTCAGAATTTTCTACTTTTGGCATGACTTCTGCTGGGTCGCATCAAAATCTGGGGAATAGGGTGTTACTTGTACTTTTATATCATCAAGGTTGATAATATCTATATTCTGAGTGACGACATAGTGTTCATGGTTGAGAGCATGAACTCTGGAACCAGACTATATGAATTTGAATCCAGTTCTGCCACTACTGGCTGTATGACTTGGACCAGTTAGTTAATCTCTCAATGCCTCAGTTTCCCCATCTATAGATAGGGATGATAACCATATCTACCATGTGTAGTTACTGTGAGGATTAGGTGTA